ATTAAGAGTGTAACTTACACTGGTATAAAATGACCCTAACCATATATATATATAGGGATAAGATCAACTTACACCGGTGTCGGAATAATAAATCTTACACCAAATCTTAACCGTTGTTTTCCGTGCATCCAACAGTTGGAATTTATTCGGAATTAAAAATTAATTAATGAGTGCGACCTAATAAATCTTAACCGTTAGATGCAGAAAATCAACAGTTAAGATTTGGTGTAAGACTTATTATTCTTATACCGGTGTAAGATGATCCTGCCCCATATATATATATATATATATATATATATATATATATATATATATATATATAGGAAAAAATATTTCTCCGACAACTTGAGATAAGTTTATCTCCGGCCGTGCTAAAATTACGTCGTTTTGTTTATTTATTTCCTTATATTAATTGATTCACCTTTGAATGGTTATGATTCTCTTTTCCTTCATTACTATTGATCCATCTTTTTATGGTTATGATTTATTAGCCGAAGATAAAATTATCTCCGACAATTTGAGAAATGATAAACCCATATATATATATATATATATATATATATATATATAAAGGGTAATATATCGGTACAGTCATAGGAAAAAAAAATTCCCTACGGAGACAATTTTCTATGGGCCCCATGCATTGTGTTTTCTCTCTCCTTTTATCATTTTCTCTCTTCTAAAATATTGTATTTACAGGACAATTTTTTTTTCCTAACAACAGGATGGATGCATTTCCCATATATATATATATATATATATATATATATATATATATATATATTACACAATAACACTGAGATTGGAATCTGTAACTTCATCAAACTACCTAAATCCCTAGTGCAGTTGCTGCTAGCTACCAATAGGTTATTTGGGATCAGGGGAGAGAAGCATAATATCTTGGCATAATGGGGCTATCCCATTCCAGTGTCCATATCAGCTTTTACATCCATAAAAAAATTTGGTACGTTGGATCGATCATCGTGTTTTTATTGTGTGTTTGGAAAGTGAACTTGGGTCCAGCTTGGATAATTGACTTCTCTTCCGCTTGTACAGTGTGATTTTGCTTTCTGCTTCCGATGATTTCGAAGCCGCAAAGTTAAGCATTGTTTGTTGTTCATTTCTTTTCCCATTTTGCCTTTGCCCTTGTTATTTGGCCCAAAGGGGAGGGTTCTTATTTTTTAGGAAAAATTGTTTGAGCTCTTGAGTAGGCCTTGGGTCATTCGTGTTAATTTGGTTGTTGCTTATGTGGTTCACTCACTGAAAATCTCCTGCACCTACCTCTTAAAATTAGACTAACCCATCTTTCTTGATTTACAGGTTACAGCTCAGCTTTTAGCCACCAAAAACATACTTTAAATGAAAACAAAAATCTCCAGCTGTTATGATATTAAAGTGCTATAGGATTTTGCCACGTGAATTTAATTGAAATGGTAAGAGTAGGTGATTTTAGATTCTGACATAAATATGAATATGATAGACATCTTGTAACTAAAAACTTATCCATCAAATGAATTTGAGTAGACAAACATAAAAAATCTGAGAAAGCATGTAGCAGCATTATTTTTGTCTGGCACTTAAGATATGGTAACTAACATGTATTGGCTGAACTCATTTCATTTTTCCATCACAATTGTTGTCAACACCGCATTTACTTCTTTATTAAATGCGTATGGATCATTTTGTTTGGGTGGTAATTTTCAACACGGAGTATAATCTGGAATTTTCATATTCATATTAATATGGATTTATTTACGTATTGATTAAAAGTAATCCGATAAAAATCGTATTGTACCCGTGTTAGAGGTATTCCATTCCGTGTTGTATTCGTATCGATCCATAATTAATCTCTTTGAATTAAACAACTATGAAATTATATATTTATTCCCATTTACTTTATTTTATTTATTCAAAAAGTAAAATTGATGAATTATTCATACCGTATTAGGTTAACCTATATAATTAACAAATCATTTTCGTGTTGATGCAAATACATCAACCCAAGTTGCCACTTTTATTTTTGCCGACCACTCGTTTTTACATGGTTAGAGGTGATAATGTTATTTAATAGTTAAAATGAATAACTCATTGTATACTTATTTTAATTTAATTTAAGATATATCATAATATTAAACTATTAGAATTTTAAAATAAATATACTTTTATTCATTCAATTTAAAATGAGCTCAATTAAATATTTTCTCTTAAAAAATAGAGGTGTCTCCTAAAAGGCATGACCGTCTAAACGTCATTTTTAGTGGCTAAAAATCAATGGTCTATTTGATTGTGTTTTGATTTTTTAAATTTTAAAACTGTTTTGTAGAATAATTATGGAAACAATTGTTTTCTATATTTATTTTTTTAAAAGTTAAAAACAAAAACATAAAACAAAAACAACCTACACATTATCTAAATTTGATTTCTAAAAACAAAAAAATAATTACAATTTTTAAATTTTTTATTACAAAACAGATCTTACTAAATAGTTTTTTTTGTTCTGAAAATCAAAAAATTATTTTTGAAAATTGATTTCAAACAATCCCCAAATATCTATACAGTTGATTTGGCGGCCTCGCTTTCTTTTCAATTTGCACATGTAGTGCATTGTATACTTACGAAAAGTTAAAAAAAGAAAGAAAGAAAAAGGAAACCAATTTTCTGATGTATGGCAACACCCTATGATGCTTGTTGATCGTTTTTTATTCATCCCAAAAATCCCACATCTTAGTGAGAAAACTCAAGTGTCTCTTGAGTGATTTTGAGGGAATTCTCATAGTATAAGAGTGAGTGATATTGTTCTTCGCTTATATTTAGAGAGAGGTTATAATTTTTTCTACATAATAAAAATCATCTTTGATCCTATCCATGGTTTTTCTGATTGGATTTTTCACCTAAATCTTATGTATCACTTCAATTGGCGTATTCATTTATATTTTAACTAGTGGAATTAAGAGTAAGTTAATTATATTGTTCATGTATAAAAAAATAATTCAATTTATAGTGGTTATTCAACTAGTCACCGTTACAATTGCATGGAGAGACTTTCACTTACACTTACTTGGCCAATTGATGTAGTTAACATTATCTTAAAAATTAATATTTTTTTTAGCTATATTTCAGCAGTAAGATACTCTATTACCTAACAATTATAAAATTACCAAACAAACAATGAATTCATATTTTGGCTGTTTCTCTATTGTAGCTTTGGATTGAATAGATGTATTTCAATATGGTTTTAATAATTTTTTTACAAAACTCTTTTACATTATTATAAATTCATGTTTCCATAAATTATTAAAAAGATTTGAACATGATAACAGTTAGATGAGTGAGAGCTCAATCTCTTATAGAGTAGAGTCAACAAATGATTCAGTGATATTCTAAAAAAAATAAAAATAAAAATACATTAATGATGCATAAAAAAATAATCTCTTTTGTAACTTAATTTTAGTTTATTCTTATTATAAAGATTTTTACATTATCGATTTTATGTTATTACATCGTTAAAGTAGTTTGACTATGATAATAAATTAATGTTCAAAATCTTTTATTAATTTCACATATCAAAATCAAGCAATTTGTTTTTGTGTTATAATGTTTTTAATATAAAATTTTAAACTTATTTTTAAAATATTATACTCATTCTAGCCTCACCCAATTTTCGTAAGTTGGCTTAACTTTGAATATGGTAAAGGCTTTCTTTTCTGAGAAAATTGAAATCCCATTATGAAATTGAACCAGTGATATTAACAAATGTCAAGTAGAACAATTTTCCATGCACTCATCTCTTCAGTGTGGATTTTTCTTGTAATGTTGCATAGACGAATAGACCACGTAGGTGCTCACCGTCTGAGCTCTCCTACTCTTAGCCTAACCTTTATTTTGAATTGTGAAATCTATGCTATTCAATGGTATTGAATTCATTTTGTTGGCAACCCATGACAAAGCCTCAACTTTTCAGCCCAATCGTCTCACCAAACACAACATAACTTAAGCCATTAATTTAAGGTTGGCTGAGACTTCAAAGTCCAACTTTTTTGACAAAAAAATAAAATGAAAAGGGTGAGGCCCAACGACACCGTTTGTAACTTGTGAAATTCAAGTTCATTGCTCTTGGCCATAGGAGGATCTAAGTTCTAGGTATTCTTTTTGCTGCCGTACTAACCCTCTGTTTTATTTCATATAAATTGCACTTTCGTATATAGCATACTATGTGATGTCACTGACTTAGCATTGGCTAGGCTTCAGTTGCATCATCCTTTGGTGTTGATGGTGCTTGTCTTATGCTGCAATCATGTTACAGAAGTCCTAGTTTTTAGGGGAGTTATAGTAATGAAATGTTGTGAAGAAAATTCTGTAACAGAATTGCTAACAGAGATTAAAAAATGAAACTAGCATAAGGTACCAGAATTAGGAAAAAAAATAAAAAATCACTCTCCGTTAAACTTGACTAGCGAGTGTAAGGTGAAGACAATCGTTGTATGCAGCCTTACACTTCCATAATTACAAGCAAAGACACTTTTTGGTGGATAAGGTACAAGAGAATATTAAAAGAAAATAAAATAAGAATATGAATTTGGACTGTTGTGCTTTTGGGCTACTTGGGCTAAGTGGTTGCTAAACATTCAACAAGGGACTTTGGGAAACTTTGCATTTTTGGAGGTAATCCTGCTATGCGAAATATATGTGGTCAAAATTGATTATGAGAGGTAATAATTTCTAAACTTGGGTTTACTGATGATTGATGTTTTGCTTTTAGATGTATGAACAAAATAGTTTTACTCTTAAGTGCAATGATCATTAGATACAATCATAAAATTGATAGATCAGCGGCGGTGCTACCTACTGATTCAAAATGCATTAATCTTCTAGTTTGCAAATCTGTGAAGTCTCAGTACATTCGTTACTACAATGACAAATAACTATGGGGTTTACCATTCCAATGATAGTCAGGAAACATCCCTAACTATGGGGTTGCATAGAGATAATCTAACACACTTTCATACTTGATCATTTTCATGGGCTTCAATACATTCATTTACGTCATTTTTGGGAACTTCCTGTGCCTGTGCGACAGAGACTAAAGTTTGTGCCTTGGTAGCTTCTTCGACCCAATTTATTCTCGCAATAAATGATAATAACAAAATCAAGCAGGTAACAACACCAACCAAGAGTCCAATGAAGAGTCCAACAAGTCCCAAGCGAAGCTTGAAGGCAAAAACCACAGCCAATGGGAGGGCCAGGAAATAGAATCCACCAAGATTAGCATACATGCCTAACCAAGGTCGAGCAGTCCCTCGCACTATGCCTCCACAAACTGTAACTGGAAAATTAAACACTTCCATAAGAGCCATTAACAACATTGTCTTCTTTACTCCCTCAATAATTCCCCTGTCATGGGTGAACAAGGCACCCCAAACCCCCCTCGCAGCCACCATCACCGAGCTTCCAATGCAACCTGAGAGAAAGGCCACAGCCAGAGACACACATGCTGATCTATAAGCATGACCAGGTTGGTTCGCGCCAAGCTCATTTGAGACACGGGTTGAAACACAAGTGGCTAGAGATAGCATCACTGAGAAAAGCAAATAGTCAAAGTTTAACACAATAGCTAGAACTCCCAATTCTTCCTTGGCATTTGCCAAGTGGCCAGTAAGCAAAACTATAATCTCATAACACCACCACTCGAGGCACGTGTTGAGGCAACACAACCCACAAAGCTTGAACAACCTAATCCATTCCATGAAGCTATGATCCCACCACCCTCCTTCCTTCCATCCGCTTCCATTTCTACTTTCCAGAATTACAACGTATGTGGCCAACAGAACCACAACTATCAAATCAGTTATCCAAACCGCCATTGAAACTCCTCTGAGTCCCATGGCCTTGGAGAGTAGTATGTTAACGGGTATGTGAATGGCTAGTGCTAAAGCAGAACTAAACATGGTAGGAAGAGTAATGCATTGAGAACTCAAGTAGGCTTTTAAGGGACAGAGGAATGAGGTGATTAACAAATCAGGTATGAGATAACAAAGATAGGTCCTTGCCACAACTGAGATATCATGTTGTTGGCCAAAACGAATCAAAATCTTGTCAACACTAAGCCACAAGAAAGATATGGGAATTGTTACCAATATCAACAATAAGGTTGTCATGAGAAGGGTCTTGTGAAGGAGCTTGAAGTTTTTAGCACCATGTGCTTGTCCACAGATAGGTTCCATGGCACCGCATAGACCGTTCAAGACAGAGAAGCCAGTGACATTGGCAAAAGTGAACCCGAGTGCGCCACCGGCTAAGCTGAGTTCCCCCATTCGACCCAGAAAAGCTGTTGTGATGGCTGTCTTGGCAAACCAAAGCAAGTTCATGGCCACCAGTGGAAGGGCTATTCCTCTTTGAACTCTTAGCTCTGCAAGAAACATCTTCGCTTTATTTGCAAGGCATTTTTGAGTATGTGATGGTGGAGGAGATGAAGGTTGTCGGTTAGTCTTATCGTTTATGCTTAGGTTCTCTTCTAGTTTTGATGGTGATGACATTTTTGCTGAGATAATGTTTTGGTGGGATTGTTGCAAAGTTTCCACTTACGTAATTCTTTCCCTTTATATGAGTTTGGTTACGGTTGAGTGTATGAGTTTCGTGATCCAGTGGGAGTTGTTTTATAAGGAGAAATAGATTGGCCGTATCAGCTTACCAGGTGGCTTCCAATTGAAGAAGAGGCTTTGGTGAAAGATCTGATGAACCATATAATAGTTATTGAAAGTTCCGTGGAGTAAAAGACCTTGTAATTTTGGGGTCTAACTAAATGGTCCTAACTCTCGAGTAAAAAAAGAAATTGCTGTAACGTTTTGGGAGATCTGTTAAAATGGCAAATAACATAACATGTGGATTTTATTTATAGAATGAAATAACATCTCGTTAAAAAGTGATACATATATTTTGAATCTATCAAAAGAAGTGGAATTAAAGATAATAGAGCACAGTAGATTTACATATATAACAAACAATCACCTCACCTAATAGTTCGAGTTGTTAAATGATGAGATTTCAATGTTTTTATGTTATTCTATTAACACATCTTTTTGGGCTTAAAGCATGGATATTGCACAACTTATTTTTTTTATCTTGTGCTAACTTAATTTCATTAGAAAGTGGAAAGTGATGACGATCAAGTTCGTGACCTCATGATAAGGACGCTCTGATACCATATAAAGGAACCAGGTCAACCCAAAAATTCAAGTTTTTCTTTTTCTTTTTTATGGCATAAACCACTCGAAATCTCGAGCTCTCCTTAAGTCTTAATATAGCAGCATATCGAGATCATTGATTAAGCAAAATAAAATAAAATGCTACCTACGTTTACACTAATTGTAATTGTAAACAAAGTTAAACAAAATAAAATGCAAAAGGGATTTCACCAAAAAATGAAACTGGCAACTTTTTATTTTTCCCATAAAACTGGTATGAAAACCATAACGGACGAATTCCAAAGTGCAAAAAGTGAAAATCCCTTCACCCTGCGAACCATCAGTTGTGGCTCGTCATCAATGTAAGATATGGCTGTCTCCCTGTTCTTGATTTCATGTACTATGTAATTCAATTTATGGAAACCTATTCAGAGTATGATCAGCAAATCTGGAAACGAGTAGGTGTAAAATGTGATGTGAACATTATTCCATATTCATTTCAAAGAACACAAAATTACTTAAAATGCGCTGAGTTTACAAAATTTTTTAAATCACTTATTTCGTAAAGTGAAAATGAACTGGGAATAAGGGAGGGATTACTTTAATATGATTTTATCATGTTCTTTTACTTGCTTTACTTTTCACTCATACCTGGCAAATTTGAAGTAGTTATTTTAAACTCTTTTAGTTTTTATTACTATTTAATCCATTTTCACTTCCATTTTTAAGTTTCATCTTTTCTATCAATCATAGCCCTAATGTGTCACACGAAAAAAAACACAAAAGGATAAACACAATAGAACAGTACCATAAAGGGATATATGCCCCTAACATACGCTTACATGATGTTTACAGGGAAGTTAAAACTGTGGAAGGCTAAGATCGGTAACATATGGTGGTCCTTAAGCATGTGCATAGCCTGCCAGTGCCAGGGTAGCCTAAAATGGATGCCAGATTCTGAGCTATGAGGAATTCAAGCAGTTTCATAAATGGCTTATATGCTTCTGTTGTGGTTGTGAAGAAATTTTAAAGAGTAACTTTATTTTTTTCCTTTCTGGTAATAAAGCATTGAGATGAGATGTGATCTGGATCTTCCTATGCGAGATAGAAGCCAAGTCCAAGAAAGGCCAAGTCAATTTTTAACCTAGAAGTAAACGCATTCATTCCGCACATAACTAGAGCACCAACACTTGTTGTGCCAATAAGACTAGAGCTGTGCATGGGTCAGGTTGGGTCAGGTTTTTGTCCGACTCGATCCAATTTGGTTTCTATAGGTCAGGTATTTTGACTCGATCCGCTTTAATTTGATCCAAGTCAGGCCTGATTTGGTTTGGATTTTGTTGAACTAGTTCAGAACCGGGTCGGATCTGACCTGACTTGGTTTTTGAAGTGGGTCTGATTTGGTTTCTGAAGTGGGTCAAATCTGACCTGACCCGTTTTTGACTTGGTTTCCTCACAAAATTTCGTCGAAATTTTTACGTTGCAAACGACGAAAATTTCGTCACAAAATTATTTTTTCGTCGGAATACTTTTTGTCGAAAAGCGACGAAATTTGTTCTCTAATGAAATTTTTTACAAAAATAAATTCTATCGAAATTTAATTTCTGTCAAAAAATTTGACGAAAATGATTTCTTCCATCAAATGTTTTAAACGAAAAAAGAATTCTGTCAAAAATTTTGACAGAATGTTTTTCGTTCAAAATTTCGATGGGACTGTGTTCTGACGAAAATTGTTTCGAGGGAAATGATTCATCTGAAACTTTCGACGAAATTTAGATTCTCTAAAGGATTTTGAAAAAATATTTTTTTATCAAATTTTTTTTGTCAAAAATTTTTACGAATTTTTTTATACAGAAATATGTTCCGTTATTTTGATGAAATATTTTTTATCAAAAAACATGACAAAAATATTTAGTTAAATTTTTTTGATGGAAATGTGTTTCGCTAAAAATATCGACGAATATATTTTTTTTTTGTCATAAAGTTTAACAAAAAAAATTTCGTCGAAAAATTTCGCCGAAATTTGAAATCTGTAAAGAATTTGGATGAAATTTTTTTCCGTCAAATTTTTTTGATGCAAATGTGTTTCGTCGAAATTTTCGATGAAAATTGTTTTAAGGGAAATGTTTCATTCGAAACTTTTGACGAAATTTAGATTCTCTAAAGAATTTTGACTGAATATTTTTTTCGTCAAAATTTTTTATCGAAATATTTTTTGTCAAAAAATTTTACGAATTTTTTTTACAGAAATGTATTCCGTTGAAAATTTTGATGGAAATGTATTTTATCAAAAAACTTGACGAAAATATTCAGTCAAAAATTTTCGATAGGAATGTGTTTCTCTAAAAATTTAAACAAAAATTTTTTTGTCAAAAAGTTTAACGAAAATGTTTCCGTCAAAAACTTCCGCCGGAATTTGAAATCTATAAAGAATTTTGATGAAATTTTTTTCGACAAAAAATTTCAATGGAAATGTGTTTTGTCAAAAATTTTGATGAATATATTTTGTTGTGAAATATTTTGACGAAATTTAGATTCCGTAAAATAATTTGACAAAAAAAATATTCCGTCAAATTTTTTTACAGAAATATGTTTAGACACCAATTTTGATGAAAATATTTTTCGTCAAAAATTTTTGCGGAATTTTTTTATGGAAATATTTTTCGTAAAAAATTTTGACGTAATTGTTTTACGTTAAAACTTTTCTTTTAATGTAATTGTGTTTTTTTTTTCACATAATGGGTATGGGTCAATGTTTGGGTCAATGGGTCAATATTAAAACTAGTCAGGTCTACAACTGACCCAAATAAAAGTGGGTCAGTATTTAAACCAGTTCAAAAAATATAGGTATTTATGGGTCAGGTCAAGGTCGGATCAAGGACAGGGCAAGTGAACCAGTTTTTTTGCACACCCCTAAATAAGACTAGACAATTGGGAATATGGCGAGATTAGCTGCTTAGAATAAATGGACCTCCAGGAGATTCAATAGTTACGTACATGCCATCACATGCTCGTTGCAAACACATCTATTGGAGGTTACGTTGCTGTTACATATTTTGAATTTTGAATTTAATATCATAGGAGTTGATTTCATTTTGTAATTAATAGGAGCTGATTGCGTTTGTTTTGTATATAATAGGAGTTGATTGTGTTTTATATTTAATAGGAGCTGATTACGTTTTATTAGGAGGTACAATTTTACGAGTTAGTTACATATTGTCGGCAATTCAAATTTATTTGTAATTTGTAATTTTGAGTCTATTTATGGGCAACATTTCAATGAAATGAGTAAGAGTGTAAATACCAGCTTTTATCTTGGTATCAAAGCTAGACTTCCGCTAACAACTCTAAGCTCTAAGCGAGGAATGAAGCCATGTCCGACGCAAACTCACAAGGGACCGGTATCACAAAGAAGCTGGCAATTTCTGACCAGCGATCAACCTTCTATCTGAGCAATGCAGATGGATCAGATATTCTGTTGACCAACGTGGTGCTGAGGGGAGAAACAAATTATGATGTGTGAACTAATGGCTTTTTGACCCTTATAACCTTTTACTAATAAATAATTACTAAATTGACCTTCATTATAAACTATTTCAAAAATTTAACCCCCCTCAAAAACATAACACCAATCTGCCCCTGTTTGACCGTTGACCACTAAGCCTACCCGGGTACACCCCTCCCTACCCGGGTATTTTTTGAAATTTTTTGTATACCCGGGTAGGGAGGAGTGTACCCGGGTATTGTTCTTGATTGCTTGAATTATTTACCCGGGTAGAGATGAGTGTACCCGGGTAAATGTTCTTTATTTTAGTGATTAGTGATTCATTTCTTAATTACTTGCCACACGTTCTATGTTTCTCGTTCTTTATGGTTTCCATGAACAACGTTAGTGTTCATTTCTTTACTTTTTTTTTTTTACTAAGCATCTACCTAATTAACTTATCTAAAAATGCTTTCGAGGAACCGCAGGCATTGGCACAATACGTGTTTGAATCATTGTGGGTTAATAAGAAGAAGAGTTACCCGGGTACACTCATCTTTACCCGGGTAAATAATTCAAAAAATCAAGAACAATACCCGGATACACCCCTCCCTACCCGGGTATACAAAAAATTTCAAAAAATACCCGGGTAGGGAGGGGTGTACCCGGGTAGGCTTGGTGGTCAACGGTCAAACAGGGGCAGATTGGTGTTTTGTTTTTTGAGGGGGTTAAATTTTTGAAATAGTTTATAATGAAGGTCAATTTGGTAATTAATTATTAGTAAAGGGTTATAAGGGTCAAAAAGCCGTGGACTAATGCCATGAAAAATACCCTCAAAGCTAAGAACAAACTTAGATTTATCAGTGGT